TCAGCCTCCCAAGTAGCTGGGACCACAGGCGCCCGCCACAACGCCCGGCCATTTTTTGGTTGCAGCCAGCATTGTTGTTTGGTGGCCCAGGTTGGATTCGAACCCGCCACCTTAGGTGTATTTGGCTGGCGCCTTAGCCCAAGTCTTTTTGACAGAGTCTCAGTATGTGGCCCTCGGCAGAATGCCATGGCATCACAGCTCACAGCAATCTCAAACTCTTGGGCTTACGCAATTCTCTTGCCTCAGCCTCCCAAGTAGCTGGGACTACAGGCACCCACCACAACGCCAGGCTATTTTGTCATTGTTGTTGTTGTAGTTGCCATTGTTGTTTGGCAGGCCTGGGCCAGTTCGAACCCAACCTGCCAGCCCCAGTGTATGTGGCCAGTGCCCTAGCCGCTGAGCTACAAGCACAGAGTCTATAACTGATATTATTATTATTATTTTGAGACAGAGTATCACTCTGTTGCCCATAGTAGCTCACAGCAACCTGAAACTCCAGGGCTCAAACAATCTTCCTACCATAGTTTTTCTATTTTTAGTAGAGACAGGGTCTCACCATTGCGCAGGCTTGTCTCAAACTCCTGAGTTCAAGAAATCTGCCCACATTGGCCTCCCAGAGTGCTAAGATTACAGGTGTGAGCCACTGCATCTAGTTTTCTTGCTGTCTTTCAGGTAGATTCTTTGGTGATAGATTTTTTTTTTTCTAGTTTTTGGCTAGGGCGGGGTTTGAACCCACCACCTCTGGTATATGGGGCTGGTGCCCTACTCCTTAGGCCACAGGTGCTGCCCTGGTGATAAACTTTAAAGAAAATAAATGAGGAAAACCTACCAGAGGGCAAAGCCAGGGGTACACAGTATACAGCGAGGAAGGGTATTTCTCCCTAAGGATAGAACCAGACTAGTAGATGAACTAACTAGAAACTTACTTAATTCTACTGTCTTCACTGTCCTCACAATATCTAGCTAGAAAGATTTTTAACACTGCTATAGATATGGGACTCCTCTAGTTTCCTGCACCAGAGAGAAGGATTACTCAGAAATCCTAGACTCTGAGGTGGATATGATGTTCAGATAACACTCTGAACTGTCTCCATTAGTATGGGGGCTACTGTGTGCTATGTATGGGAAGAATGGTGAATAAGGGTATTTTGGTGACCAGAGGAGGAAGCAGACTATTAGTTGTCCCCAGATAAACACTGTACCCTGAACAATAATGGTTGAATTTTGGCCAAGAATTCTTTCCTAGACATTCTCATTACTTAATGTAATCATGCAACTAAATTGTGGCCAATGTGGTAAGAGCTAAACAGTTTATACAACTTCCTGCCTAAAGAAAAGCTCTATACCCTCCCTTTGCTCCTTTCCATTAATAGGAATAGAAACATGAAAGTAGAGAGTATACACAAAACGAAAGCTACTTGTTAAGGATGGTAAATCAACCAGATAGAAGGAATCTGAGCCCATGGTGATTTAGTTTCAGAGACCAGTACTATTACCTACCCAGACTTTATCTGTGACAGTAGCAAATCAATTAATACAAAGTTTCTCTGCCTATTTCCCAATTCCTTTCTGGTACTCCCATGACCTGAAATACTAAATGACTATCAACTAATTTCTGATAAGGTATTAGTTGAGATATTAAATATGTAATAAGTTTTCTCCCCTAGAAGACAAAAAAACCCAAAATCCTCACATGATATAGAAGAGGATTATGAGCTAGTGACTGCCCTGCTACAGAACTATTCCCTTTTGTTCAACCCAGAAAACATATATGAAAGATTAATATCCCCTTCCAAGAACCCACATAGCCTCACATCCTTTTATCCCTTGGCTGACTTTTTATATAAGTAAAGCAAAAAATTAAAATTAAGCATAAAGGGAAGAAAGAGGGAAGGGGTTCACACTAAAACAGCAGCCTGCAAAAAATATTTGTTTAGAATTCTTTAACTCTATTTATCTATGAATTATCGAAGATTTTTAATAAAGGGCAGGATATGAGAAATCCAATGAAATGATAAAAGCAATAGCAAAGGCCAAATTGCCTCTCTATTGAGCCTTTAGTTTACTGTCATCAAAATACTTTAAATTCTGGCTCAGTGCCTGTAGCACAGTGGTTACAGCGCCAGCCACATACACCGAGGCTGGCAGGTTTGA